ACTAAGAGAAGGGAGCTCTGGTATTCATGCTTGTAATCATGATAGGTACCGTTTGATGCTATTTTTAGAATCATATTTGACATGGTTTGTTTTTGTGCGGGCGCTTTATCCAATCAGCTTAGAAAAATAGCATAAAAGATTCTAAAAATAGCATCAAAGAGTGCTCATGATGGGGTGCGGGGATTCCTTCTCTTAGTTAATTTTCTCTTGGTTATATGGATAATCAAACATCGTTATACAAGTGTTCAAGTTTGTTTATTGCTGTGCTGTTCTGAAAAAATTGGAAATCTCAAAAATTTGGAAACTTTGTCAAAGAATTTTGGACAAAACAATATTATGAGCATCAAAGACGAGTTTTTTAGGATTCCTGTGGACCCCCGAAGAATGGAGCCAAGTAGTCGGGGAAGTAGGGATAGGAAAAGTAGAAACTGCAGACAACACCGTAAGAGATAAATTACTCGTTCCCCATGCACACAACAAAATGTAATCGATCTGTCAACGGTCTGTCAAGGTGGAAGGGTAATACAATACAGATCCAGTAGATCTGAGCACAGGTAGCCCAAGCTTGGTTTCTGTGGTGTCCTGTTATAAGGAAATGTATGGGGAATCATCAAAAATTTCAATAAAATCATCAAAACGTGAAATAAAGCCTCGAAATTTTACCCTATCATTACCTTCCTCATAACAGGACACCACAGAAACCAAGCTTGGGCTACCTGTGATCTGAGGGACCTGAGAAGGTAGTTTTCTATCGTAATGGAATGCAATTAAATATTTTCACTTCAACAAATGTCGTTCAAACGATGCTTTTTTAATTCGTAGTCGTTAGAACCTTACCTGTTAGGCTCACGTAATGACAAATAGCTAAAACCATTTATCTCAATTCAAAAATATTCAAAATTTGAAAATAAAGTTTGAGTTTTTGTCTATTTTGATCTTTTAAAACTATTTGGCTATTTACTTCTAAGCAAGTAACAGCAGCTGTTAGTTTTTGTCTCAATCAGAGTAATATAATATAAAAAAGATGACAAAACAATCAAGACAAATAGAAGAGATACTTCTCGTGAAGCACTTTGAATCAAGTGAGATAAGTTACTTTGTCAGTATTTGTACTAATGGTCGCGCAATGGTTATCAATGTAGCAAAAATATCAAATAAAATTACAGATAACCGAAATATGTTTTCATAGAAACGTTGCTGCCATAAACAGAAGAAAAGCGGTCATGTAATATCATCCAAAATTTACAGTTTAGATTTTAGAAGACAGCAGCAGGTAAGTCCTAACAAACTACAAAATATTTTAAAAATTTTAAAAAGYTACAATCAATTCGAATGGAATTAGAGAAAAATGAAAAGTACTTAGAACATTTTTGAACAGGTAGGATTAGACAGGTTTGTTTTACCGGTAGAGAAAAACGCGTAATTAATTAAAAAGGCTTATTTAAATTAACATCAACTAGATCAAACAGCCTACAGTTCTGGTAATACTATTTGATGAGAAGGGCATCTAGTATCATAACAGACACGCAGCAAAAATTTGTGTAGTCGTGATGGGAAGAATGACAAATAGTGACAGCGGTGGGAGACAAGAAAACAAGAGATGGTCGTTAATCCATGGTTCTCGTTTCTTGACAATCCTACTGGTGATATCCATGATCCACGTAGCAGCAAGTCAGAACAAGATGAGTACTCTTGATCAAGGTTTGAACAAGATTCGATCACCAAGATATGTCAAGACAGCAGGCAAAACCAACACCCAATCTAGCAGGGTTTGTAACACCACGGAATGTATTAAGGCAGCCAAACGAATCAAAAGTTCGATGAA